CTCCCTGTATCCATGTGTTCTCATTGTTCAACACCCGCCTATGAGTGAGAACATGAGGTGTTTCGTTTTCTGTTCTTGTGTCAGTTTGCTGAGAATGATGGTTTCCAGATTCATCCATATCCCTGCAAAGGACATGAACTCATCTTTTTTATGGCCGTATTCCTTGGTGTATATGTGCCACATTTTCTTTATCCAGTCTATCTTTGATGGACATTTGGGTTGGTTCCAAGTCTTTGCTATTGTAAATAGTGCCACAATGCACATACATACCTGTGCATGCGTCTTTATAATAGAACAATTTATTATCCTTTGGGTATTCACCCAGTGATGGAATTGCTGGGTCAAATGATATTTCTATTTCTAGATCCTTGAGGAATCACCACACTGTCTTCCACAATTGTTGAACTAATTTACACTCCCACCAACAGTGTAAAAGTGTTCCTATTTCTCCACAACCTCTCCAGCATCTGTTATCTCCAGATTTTTTAATGATCACCATTCTAACTGATGTGAGATGGTATCTCAGTGTGGTTTTGACTTGCATCTCTCTAATGACCAGTGATGATGAGCATTTTTTCATATGTTTGTTGGCCATATAAATGTCTTCTTTTGAAAAGTGTCTGTTCATATCCTTCACCCACTTTTTGATAAGGTTGTTTGATTTTTCTTGTAAATTTGTTTTAGTTCTTTGTAGATTCTGGCTATTAACGCCTTGTCAGATGGGTAGCTTGCAAAAATTTTTTCCCTTTCTGTTGGTTGCTGGTTCACTCTAATGATTGTTTCTTTTGCTGTGCAGAAGCTCTGGAGTTTAATTAGGTCCCATTTGTCTATTTTGCCTTTTGTTGCCTATGTTTTTGGTGTTTTGGTTATGAAGTCCTTGCCTACACTTATGTCCTGAATGGTTTTGCCTAGGTTTTCTTCTAGGTTTTTTATGGTGTTAGGTCTTACATTTAAATCTCTAATCCAGCAGAATTTTTGTGTAAGGTGTAAGGAAGGGGTCCACTTTCAGCTTTCTGCACATGGCTAACCAGTTTTCCCAACACCATTTATTAAACAGGGAATCCTTTCCCCATTACTTGTTTTTGTTCAGTTTATCAAAGATCAGATGGTTGTAGATGTGTGGCATTACTTCCAAAACCTCTGTTCTGTTCCATTGGTCTATATCTCTGTTTTGGTAATGGTACCACACTGTTTTGATTACTGTAGCCTTGTAGCATAGTTTCAAGTCAAATAGCATGATGCCTCCAGATTTGTTCTTTTTGCTTAGGGTTGTCTTGGCTATGTGGGCTTTTTTTCCATTCCACATGAAGTTTAAGGTGTTTTTTTCCAGTTCTGTGAGAAGGTCAATAGTAGCTTGATGGGGATAGCATTGAATCTATAAATTACTTTAGGCAGTATGGCCATTTTCATGATATTGATTCTTCCTAACCATGAGCATGGAATGTTTTTCCTCCTGTTTCTGTCCTCTCTTATTTCCTTGAGCAGTGGTTTGTAGTTTACCTTGAAGAGGTCCTTTACATCCTTTGTTAGTTGTATTCCTAGGTATTTTATTCTCTTTGTAGCAATTGTGAATGGGAGTTCACTCATGATTTGGCTCTCTGTCTATTATTGGTGTAGAGGATCCTTGTGATTTTTGCACATTGATTTTGTATCCTGAGACTTTGCTGAAGTTGCTTATCATCCTAAGGAGATTCTGGGCTGAGATGATGGGGTCTTCTAAATATACAATCATGTCATCTGCAAACAGAGACAATTTGACTTCCTCCTTTCCTATTTGAATACCCTTTATTTCTTTTTCTTGCCTGATTGCTCTGGCTAGAACTTCCAGTACTATATTGAATAGGAGTGGGGAGAGAGGGCATCCTTGTCTAGTGCCAGTTTTCAAAGGGAATGCTTCTGGTTTTTGCCCATCCGGTATGATATTGGCTGTGGGTCTGTCATAAATAGTTTTTATTATTTTGAGATACGACCCACCAATACCGAGTTTACTGAGAGTTTTATCATAAAGGGCTGTTGAATTGTGTCCAAGGCCTTCTCTGCACCTATTGAGATAATCGCGTGGTTTTTGTCTTTGGTTCTGTTTATGAGATGGATTACATTTATAGATTAGTGTGTGTCGACCCAGCCTTGCATCCCCGGGTGAAGCCTGCTTGGTCACCATGGATAAGCTTTTTGATGTGCTGCTGCATTCGTTCTGCCAGAATTTCATTGAAGATTTCTGCATTCATGTTCATCGTGGATATTGGCCTGGAATTTTCTTTTTAAAATGACACTGAGCGGGAGCTCCTGGCGCCCGTGTCACATTGGAATAGAGACGGGGTCCCTCGAGGGCGGCTGGGAATTCTCCGGAATCACCCCGCGGTGCAGAAACTCTTGGCTGCGGACGCCACGGAGCCGCCCTGGGTCTGGGGGCCGGGCTGGGCCTCCCTCCCTGGCTGCAGAGACCCCTCCTCCGCCCTGCCCTCCCGGGGGGCTCCCCATAAGTCCGCGCCCCCCACGCTGCCCTAAGTCACCTCCCCACGTCCCCGCCACGGCCCTGACCCCTCCCGGGCACAGCCGGCCCGTCCCGGGGCTCCGCCCTGGGTTCCGCGTCCTGAGCCGCTTCCTGCCCGCAGCGGAGCCGCTCCGCACCCGCAGGACCCGCTCAGAGGAGCCCTCGCCGCCCTCCAGAGCCCCCAGGCCCGCCGGCTCCTCCCTTCCCAGCCCCGACGCCCCCTGGCTCGTCCCATCCCCCCTGTTTCCGGACCCGCTTATTTCAGGGGGCCCGGGAGGGCAGCGATTCCGTCCGCTTCTTTGGCTCTTGGACCTGCAGAGCCCAGGACAGCGCCGGGCGCGTAGTTGGGGCTGCAGGAAACGCTGGCTGAGGGAGGGAACAAACGAACCTCGCAGGATGAAATGAAACATGAATTCATCCAGTCACGGTAGCCGGCACCCTGTTTCCTCCCAGCCCCGAGACTGGAGCGTTTTCATCCTCCTGCCGTCTGAACACAGCACAGGGCAATCCTGAGACTCAAAGCCACGTGCCGTTTAAAACTTTTAAGAAACGTGGAGTCTTGCGATGCTGCAGTCTGGTCTCGAACTCCTAGCCTCAAGGGACCCTTCCGCCTCGGCCTCTCAAAAATATTGGGATTGTAGGCACGAGTCACTGTCACCAGCCTCCCGGCAGGCTTTCTAAGCCGCAAGATTCCGTGTATGGACTGTACCCATGGAAACCGTTATTGTCACGGCCATTCCCAACTCCGAGGTGAAGATCCCTGCCTTCATCAACATGACCCAGTCAGGGTCGCACTCATCACGGAGCCCCTGTTGCCTCTGGCGCACCCCACGACTGCCATCTGGGGGACCCTTCCCGCGGGGTTGCGAGTTTCAGCATCTGCACCAGGCCTGGCTTTCTGCAAGGGTCGGGGTGGGGGTTCCTGCGCTGATTGGACCCTCGGACTCCCACTGCTGTGGAGGGGTTGTTCCTTCAGTGAAATGCCTTGTGCCTGAATCCACCCTGTGCCTTCCCTTTTCTCAGCAGGATGTTTTTAAAGCCCAGACCCACTCCTTGCAGAGCAAATATCCAGCCCTCAGTGGTCGCTGCCACATCCCAAGACCCCCCTTCACCAGGGACCACTCTTGAGACTGGGCTGAAGCCCTGTGAAGAAGTGAGCTCAGTGGGCTCGGTAGGTTTAGGGAACTCTGAGGTTCACTGCCCTTAGGAGGGATGCCCTCTAGACCCAGGGCAGTTCTCCGCAGTCCCCACCACTCCCTCTTGTCACCCCTAAGGACCTGCATTCCCAGTGGTCTGCCTGGACCCCGGCTGCATTGGAGCCCTGGGCCCGTCCTGAGTCGGTTTGGAGGCCGGGCTGGGTGGGTCCTGGTGGGCCTTGAGTGTGTCCCTCTGCTCAGACCTGAGGTGCTTAGACCTGGCCCCAGCTCTGCCCTGTGACCTCAGCAGGCCAGCTGGGGTCAGCTTTCCCATGGGGTGGGGGTGGGGTCCGGAACCAGCCACTCCCAGGTCCTTCTGAGGTCTCTCTTGGCACTGGTCCTGGGGTCAGGGCTGGATCAGTGAATGAATGGCTGAATGAGTGATTTCCCCTTCCCCTCGGCACTGCCCGGTCCCCAGGAGAGCATGGGCAGCAGTCGCTGCTCTGTGGCCTGTCCCACTGGACTCGGGGTCTCACGCTCGGTCTGGGTGAGGTCACCCACTGGACTCGGGGTCTCACGCTCGGTCTGGGTGAGGTCACCCACTGGACTCGGGGTCTCACGCTCGGTCTGGGTGAGGTCACCCACTGGACTCGGGGTCTCACGCTCGGTCTGGGTGAGGTCACCCACTGGACTCGGGGTCTCACGCTCGCTCTGGGTGAGGTCACCCACTGGCTCCCGGGTCGACCCCCTGCTCTTGGGAAGCGGCATCCCGGCCCAGCTGCCAGGAGGTCACTGCCGCGAGCAGGGAAGAGCAGGGATGGTCCGCGAGTGTCCGAACAGCGCACAGGAGCTGAGGAGCCTCCGCCTTCCATGGAGGCGTTGAGAGGAGTTTCGACTCCTTTTGTGAGTTGAATATGAGATTTCCGAGCAGTCATGAGACGTTGGGGCGGTGGAGGCGGGGAGTCCGTTCCTCAGTCAGATGGAGGAGGGGCTCCCCCGATCTCCTCTCGGGGCTCCAATCCCGATGCTTCGTCTCCTCTCGGGGCTCCAATCCCGATGCTTCGTCTCCTCTCGGGGCTCCAATCCCGATGCTTCGTCTCCTCTCGGGGCTCCAATCCCGATGCTTCGTCTCCTCTCGGGGCTCCAATCCCGATGCTTCGTGTCCTCTCGGGGCTCCAATCCCGATGCTTCGTCTCCTCTCGGGGCTCCCCCGATCTCCTCTCGGGGCTCCAATCCCGATGCTTCGTCTTTTCTCGAGGCTCCAATCCCGATGCTTCGTGTCCTCTCGGGGCTCCAATCCCGATGCTTCGTCTCCTCTCGGGGCTCCAATCCCGATGCTTCGTCTCCTCTCGGGGCTCCAATCCCGATGCTTCGTGTCCTCTCGGGGCTCCAATCCCGATGCTTCGTCTCCTCTCGGGGCTCCAATCCCGATGCTTCGTCTCCTCTCGGGGCTCCAATCCCGATGCTTCGTGTCCTCTCGGGGCTCCAATCCCGATGCTTCGTCTCCTCTCGGGGCTCCAATCCCGATGCTTCATCTCTTCGCACCTGCCCTGGGCGGGTCTGCAGAGCTCCTGGGAACAGGCGGGACTTCCTCGCTTTAAAGGTTGTAAGTTGAGAGCACCTCACCTAACTGTCCAGGGCGGCTCTGACGGGCCTCAGTCTCCCTGCGATGTCACACAGGAAGCCCAGGACGGGGCGCTCCAGCCGTCCTGGTTAGACCAGATCACTGCGCCCCGTGGGCTCCCCGTGAGTCCAGCATCGTTTCCCGCACAGTGGCCCAGGCCGAGTCCCCGTGGGCTGTGACTGGGGGACAGTGGGACTCGGGGTTGGGGGCTCGAGTCATGGCTTCACTGTCCACTGTGACTGGGGACCCCCAGGGGGATTTCTGGGGGACATATTTTGCCCACTGCACTGGAATTTTTCTTTCAGAAGAAACGGGGAGGGGGCGCTGCATCTGCACCCGCAGGGTCCCGCCGGCCTGGAATTCCATCCCACCTGCCCCACTGATCCCGGCCCATCCCTGTGACCAGGAGATGCAGTCCAGGGAGTCCCCAGGTCGGGGCCACATGGCTGCCCTAGGAGCCTGGCCTCAGGGAGGGGTGCTGTGGGGCACCCCTAGGTCCACTGAGGGAAGGGAGGGGACTTCCCCACGGGTAAGTGGGGATGGAGGGTGCTCTGAAGAACAGGAGACAGAGCCCCACCCCTCTTCGCAGCTGAGCAAAAAAGGCCCTGAACAGTCTCACCTGAACTACTCATGGCGCCCTTGTCACATTGGAATAGAGACAGGGTCCCGCGACCCCGCCAATGGCAGGAACCTACCCAGGTGTGCCTGACTGTGCGTCTGTCTGTCCATCTCCTGTCTCTCCATCTGTCTCTCCATGTGCATCTGTCTGTCTCTGTCCATTCATCTGCCTGTCTGCCTGTCTGTCTGCCTGTCTGTCCGTCTGTCTGTCTGTCTGTGTGTCTGTCTATCTGTCCCTCTGTCTGTGTGTCTATCTGTCCATCTGTCCGTGTCTGCACAGCCCCCGACCTCACACTTGAGCTGAGTTCAAAGCAGCCGGTTCCCATGGCATCGGTGTCCTTCTCGCTGAGTTAGAGGTAGGAAGTCACATTGACATTCTGTGTGAAGGGAAATACAATTACAGAGATACAGGAGGAGCAGACCGTCTGCTTCTTAGAGATAATGAAATGACTTTTGGCCATAAACGAGGTGGACACACTGGCTCCAGGGTCAGTAACCCCCACTGCTGGGCCCTGCCCGCTCTGTGTCCTGGGGCATGAGGCTCCCAGGAGGCTGTGGTCAGTAGAAAGGGGTCCCCTGAGTGGGCTGCGGCAGACAGGAAGCCAGAGCCACCCAGGGAGTCCCATGAGGGGCACTTAATCGGGGAACTCGTCACAGAGGGGCTGGAGGAGCTGTGGAAGAAACGGGGTGGGGGGTGATCCCAAGTTAGGCTTCAGCAGGAAGCTGCTACCACCCGGGGCTGCAGGGGCCGGGAGGGGCGAGCACAGCCAGGGGCTGGGCAGCCAAGTCCAGGGCACCAGGCACAATGTCCCTGCCCTCTCCCTGTGGAGCCACATCAGTGTGCTTAGTTCCTCCAGCAACACAACGTGATGGCACAGGGAGGTGTCACCCACCAGGGAAGCCCACAGAGACTCAGTGCCCAGCGACTGTGGGGCTGGCCACGGTGGCACCTCTGCCTGGCGCACAGACATTCCAGACACCCAGAAGGAAGCAGGGGCTCAGGTTAGACCACGTGTGGTTTCCACAGGAGTTTAGACACAGGAGCTCCTCACTGTTGAGGGCGGTTGTGTGTCTGTGCAGGGAACTGCTACAGCCAGATTCCCAGACACCAGCCAAGGGCACCCTCGCCAGCAAGCCTTGCCCAGGACGACCATCTCAGGCCTACCAGATTACTCTCTGGGCACTTTCTGAGGAGGTTGTTCTGGGGAGGACGGAAGCACAGAGCATCGGCCATCACATGATCCTGGCTGAGCGTTTAGACCTCCAGAGAGGAGAGCACAGAGGCGGATCAGGAAGCCCAGACCTTCAGCCCCCAGAAACGCTGACTCACAACAGCAAGGCCCAGAAGCCTTTCTGAGGCAGTTACAGAGCTCTGCAAATTGAGACCAAGTGTAAGGTGTAACCTGTGACACTGGGGACATAAAGCGGGGTTGTATAAAGGAGTGGAGCTTTCCGCAGTTGGAGCTGTTACCCGCTTACGATAGATTGTGATGAGATGTTTTATGCAGTCCCCATAGAAACCACAAAGAAAACACCAACAGAAGAGCTGGCTCAAGGTGAAGCTGAACTCCATCCCAGCCACTGGCCTCCGGAAGCTGACTGAGGTGGACGAGGAACGCAAACTTCGTACTTGGTGTGAGACGCCTGTGGCCACAGCAGCTGTCGCTGACATTCCCATGGAGCATGGAAGGGTTCTGTGGTCCGGATCAGTGGGGGGACAACAAATATGGTTTCCCACGAAGCAGGATAACCCAACCCATGGCCGTGCCCACCTGCTAGGGAGTAAGCAGCATTCTCGCCATAGACCAAGGAGAACTGGAGAACGACAGTGAAAATCTGTTTGCAGTTACTCTGTGGATGCCAATCTGAGCGTTCTCAACTTGGTTCTTGTAAAAAATAATAATAATTGGAGAGAAGGACCTTCCTGGACTGACCGATACCACGGAGCCTCACTGCCTGGGCCCAGAAGAGCTAGAAGAACCCGCAGACTTTTCAATGTCTCTGAAGAAGACGATGCCCAGGAATATGCTGGAAGTCCTTAAACAAAGAATGTAAGAAACCGAGGACCAAAGCGCCCGTGACTCAGTGTCTTGTTCCTCCACGTGTCCTGTAGCACGAACGTCAGCGTCTTGCTCTGAAGAAACAGTGAACTGTGGAAAACAAGGCAGAGGCTGCAGAGTAAGCTACACGCTGGCCCTGAGAATGAAAGAGGCCACAGAAAACCGTCAGGAACAGACTGCCAGGAAATGCAGGCTCTCCGCGTGGGGAGCTTCCACTTCTAAGTCTGCATCCAGACGAAAGAAAGATTTTTTTGAGTAGCAAATAAGATCAGACCCCTCCAAAAGGAAATACCTGTAGAAGATGCACAAAAGAAAATGGAAAAGAAATCAGAGCCGCTCAGAACAAAAAAACAAAAACAAAGAAACACAAAGAAAGCCAACAAGAAGGAAAACAGGAAGAAATCACTGTAAGACAAACAGAAAACAGCAAAACAGCAACAGTAAGTTCTTCCCCATCAGTAATTAATATAAACGTAAATGGGTCAAACTCCCCACTCAAAAGACATAGAGTGGCTGCATGGACAATAAGATGCAGCTGTGTGCTGTCTATGAGACACTTTATTTTTTAATTTTTTATTTAGTTTTTGAGACGGAGTTTTGTTCTTGTTACCCAGGCTGGAGTGCAATGGTGCGATCTTGGCTCACGGCAACCTCCGCCTCCTGGGTTCAGGCAATTCTCCTGCCTCAGCCTCCCGAGTAGCTGGGATTACAGGCATGCGCCACCATGCCCAGCTAATTTTATTTATTTTTTATTTTTTACAAATGTAAGGAGCACATGTGAAATTTTGTTACACATATGTAATGCATAGTGGTTAAGTCAGGGTAATAGGGTGCCCATCACCCAAGTGCAATATGCTTTTGTTAACTAAAGTCACCCTACTCTTCTATCAAACATTGAATTTATGTTTTCCACCTTACTGCTTTTTTGTACCCTTCAGTCAACTTTTCTTCATCCTCCCCCTCTCCCCACTTACCCTTCCTCTGTTATCTGTCCCTTCCCAGTCTCTGTTATCTGTCATTCCACTGTCTACCTCTGTATCACTTTAGATATAAGGGCATACACAGGTTCAAAGTGAGAGGATGGAAAAAGATACTCCAAGCAAATGGTAAACAAAAGAGAGCAGAAGTGGCCACACTCACATCAGACAAAATAGACATCCAGTCAAAAACTGTCACAAGAGACAAAAAGGACTTTGTACAATGATGAAGAGATAAATTTACCAGCAATATATAGCAATTATAAATATATGTGCACCTATTAACAAAGCACACTAATATGTCAAACAAACTGACAGAACTGAAGGGGAAATACACAGAAATGCAGCAGGAGGTCTTGCTACCCCATCTCAAAGAATGGATTGATCCGCCAGACAGAAGAACAGGGAGACAGAAGAACAGGGAGACAGAAGACTTGAACAACAGCATAAACCAACTGGGCCTGACAGACACAAACACAACACTCTCCAGCAACAGCAGAACACACATTCTTCCTAAGCACACATGGAACATTCTTCAGGAAAGATCATAATAAAAAATAAATCATAATAAATTTAAGAAGACTGAAATTATGCTGAGTGTCTTTTCCAATAGTGGGATGAAACTAGAAGTCAACAGCAAAAGGAAAATCTGAAACTCTTACAAACGTGGAAGTTAAACAACACGTTCTTGAATAATCAGTGGGTAAAAGAAGAAACACAAGGGAGCTCGCAAATATCTTGAGGCAAATGAAAATAAAAACACAAAATACCAAAGTTATACATTAGGTACAAACATACAATACTAAGCAAAAGCAGTACTAAGAGGGACGCTTACCATGGTGAATGCCAACCTTAAAAACAGAAAAAAAAACCTCAAATCAACAACCTAACTTTATACCTCACAGAACTAGACAAAGAACAAATTGAATCCAAAGTTAACATAAAAAAATAATAACTAAATAAAATAGAGAATAGAAAAACAATAGAAAAAAATCAATAAAACTAAGAGCTGCTTTTTGAAAAGATCCATAAAATCAACAATCCTCTACTAGACTAAAAAAGAGACAAGATTCAAATAACAAAAGTCAGGAACAAAAGAGGAGACACTATAACTGATGCCACAGAAATAAAAAGGATCATAAGAAACTAGCATGAGCAATTATATGCCAACAATTTGGATAACCTGGAAAAAAAATAGATAAATTTCCAAAAACATCCAACCTACCAAGACAGAACCATGAAGAAACAAAAAATCTGAGCCAACCAATAACTAGTAAGGAAATTGAATCAATAATCAAAAACCTCCCAAAGAAGAAGTGCCCAGGACCAGATGTCTTCATGGAGAATTTTACCAAACTTTTAAAGAAGAATCAACACCAATCCTTCTCAAACTCTTCCAAAAAACTGAAGAAGAGGGAACACTTCCAAACTCATTCTATGAGGCCAGTATTACCCTGATACCAAAATCAAATATACTACAAAATGAGAAAATTACAGCACCCAATCTCTGATGAATATTCATGTAAAAATCCTAAACAAAATGCTAACAAACAAAATTAGTAACAGATTAATAGGATTACACATCATGAGCAAGTGGGATAGATTCCTGGAATGCAAGGATGGTTCAACATATGAAATTAATGTGATACACCACATAACAGAATGAAAGACAACCACATGATCATCTCAATTAATGCAGAAAAGACATTCAATAAAATTTAATACTCTTATTATTAAAAAAAAAAAACAGAAAACTAAGTAGAAGGAAATTGCTTGAACATAATAAAGTCCATTTATGAAAATCTCCCACATAAACTCAGTGCTTAAAACTGAAAGAATTTTCTCTAAGATCAAAAGCAAGGCAGGGATGCTCACTGTCACCACTTCTATTCAACATAATATTGGAAGTTTTAGCCAGAGCAATAAGGCAAGAAAAAAATACAAAGCACCCACATCAGACAGGAAGAAGTAAAATTATATCTATTTGCAGATGACATACTATATGGTTTTTCAAAACTTAAAAACTCCCCCAAAAACCAGTTAGAAATAATAAACTGGCTGGGCAGTGGCTCACTCCTGTAATTTCAGCACTTTGGGAGGCCAAGACAGAGGAATAGCCTGAGGTCAGGAGTTTGAGACCAGCCTGGCCAACATAATGAAACCCAATCTCTACTTTAAAAAAAAATACAAAAATTAGCTGGGTGTGGTGGTGGGTGCCTGTAATCTCAGCTACTTGGGAGGCTGAGGCAGGAGAATTGCTTGAACCTGGGAGGCAGAGTTTGCAGTGAGCCAAGATTGCAGGGGCCACTGCACTCCAACCTCAGTGACAGAGGGAGACTTCATCTTAAAAAAAAAAAAAAAAGAACTAATAAGCTAATTTAACAAAGTTGCAAGATACAAAATCAACATGGAAAACTCAGTGTCATCTCAGTACACTAACAATGAACGATCTCCAAAGGAAATTAAGAAAACAATCTTATTATAACACCATCAAAGAAAAAAATTAGGAACGAACTTAACCAAGAGGCAAAATACTTGTACACTGAAAACTAGGAAATGTTGAAAGGGATTAAAGCAGACACAAAAGAATGGAAAGAGCAGAGAACTGATGAAAGCGTCCCAGGACGGGCTCGCACCTGCTCAGAAACGGGATGAGCTTAGAGCTTTCCTCGAGGAGCAGGAACCCAGCTCGTCCTGCGCGGTCAGCACGGGGACCCTGCTGTCCACACCCCTGGGGACCCGCCCATATGGGCATCTTTCTCTCTCTGCTGGGGGGCCGAGACCCTGGGCCTCTCCTCTGGGGTCTCTTGCCATGTGGAGGAGAGGTGGGCTCGCCGCAAGCCCCTGTCGGCCGCTGCTGTTGCTGGGCTGCCTGTGCCTTCCCTTTGAAGTGACAGTTCACATTCCTGGCATCCTGTGCACATTCCTGGTTCCAGTGTCTTCTGCAGAAACTCCTGCCCTGTGGTCTCCCTGCCCTGCTTTGCTCTGCTAGTGATCACCCACAGTGATGGTGCCAGGTTGCATCAAAGTCGTGAAGGGCAGAGCTCCTTGTGAGCGGGTCCGGGTGGATGGAGCAGCCGCAGTGCGAGACTCCCAGAGACAGCTGTCTCTTCTCCCAGGGTGGCTCAGCCTGGCTGCTGGATGCCCCATTTCTGGACTGAACTTCCCATGTGAGTCCCCAGGGGGCCTCTTACAGGACTGTCCCAGATGCAAAGGCCTCCTGGGTCCCTCCTGCCTGCTTCCCAGGGCAACTGTGAGCTCTGTAGGACCCAGGATGGCCCCACAGGTTTCCCTGCAGAGGACCAGGCAGAGGCTGACCTCAGAGGACCAGATGGAGGTTTCCCTGCAGAGGCCCAGGTGGAGGCTGACCTCAGAGGACTGGGTGGAGGCTGACCGCAGAGGATGAGGTGGAGGCTGACCTCCGCAGGCACCCTGTGCCCCTGACCATTTGAGCTGCTCACTCTTCTCCAGACACTCGTCCAACCTGAAGTCACCGGCGCTGGTGCCACGGTGACGGGCACATAGCAGCCCACACGTTCTCCACGCCAGCGCAGGTGGGCTTAGTGCTCTTAGGCTGGGTTAGTGACGGCAGCACCCTGAACAGTCATGGTCGAAGCCGCCTGGAACGCAGGGCCTGACTGTCCAGGAGTGGCCACAAGAGGACAGAAGACACGCAGCCACACGTGGTGACAGGATGGCACACGTGCCCCATCTGTGATCACTGCCGCCTCCCAGGCACGGCCTCACTGAGGACAACGGAGCAGCCTGGGAGGAACTGCAGTCACATCTGGTGGCCCATGTGGCTGGCGGCCGGCATGTGGGGTCTGTCAGGTGAGAGCCACCCTGGGACCCAAACCCCCGCAGACCCCAGACCCAATCCTCCCTCACGTAGAGCAAGCCAGTAACACCTGTTCTGGATGAGCCGACCGTGCCCTCCCCACTTGGGACGTGGCTGCCCAGCAGGGGTGGCCCCAGGGGCTGACGCGGGTGGACCAGATGACTCTGGAGCAGGCACCAGCTCCGCTTTGGCTGGGGTTCAGGGTTTGGTGGAAGAAGCTGGAGCCAAGAGATGACGCCGGGAAGGGGGCTCCTGGGAGGGGCCCAGGAGAGGGAGAGTGGCAGGAGGACGTGTATCACTGGGGTCCAGGAGCAGGGTCTTCACGGAACGTGGGCGGCCAGCTGGGTCAGGGGCGGCGACTGAGCGGCGTCTGCTGTGGATGACGATGACCCAGGGAGGAAGGAGGGAAACATGGAAGGAAGCAGAGGACGGTGTTGAACCCTGAGCGGGGGTGGAGGCCAGGGAGGGGCTGAAGAAGCCCGTCTCATGGGAAGAACAAGGAAAGGGGAGGGGGAGGTGTGGGGTCTGGACTGCGGGACGTGGGCAAAGGGGCAGGAGCGTGGGGAGGGCACGCGTGGGCCCCTGTCCTGCGGCTCCGTCCCTCCAGCTGGTCAGACAACGGGCTCCAGGACCATCTCCTGCGTGTGTCTCGGGTGGCTGTGTCAGCGGAAGAGATTTCGGATCAGGTAAAAGGGTAGATTCACAGCAGGGCTTCAAAATAATCCACAGAATCCTCAGTGGCATGAACAGCAGTGCCCAGCCTCACGTGGTTGTTACATGAAGATTACCCGTCACAGTCGAGAGGCACGCTGCTCCAGGCCATCTTCACAGGACTGCCTCGCTCCCCCTCACAGGGCAATAGTGTCAATACAACGGCGTTTTACAGGTGGGTAAACTGAGGCCTGAGCCCCCCTGCCCCGCATGGCTGTGTGGAATCCAGGCACAGGCCTGCCCGACCTTGAGGCTGGGCTCTGGCCTCTGACTGCTCCCAGGCCCGGAGTCCAGCCCACTACTCCGGGGAAGCTCCAGCATCCCCTTCCCTGAGTCCCAGCCTCCCTGGATCCCAGCCTCCCTGAGTCCCAGCCTCCCTGAGTCCCAGCCTTACTGGATCCTAGCCTCCCTTAGTCCCAGCCTTCCTGGATCCCAGCCTCCCTGAGTCCCAGCCTCCCTGAGTCCCAGCCTCCCTGGATCCCAGCCTCCCTGAGTCCCAGCCTCCCTGGATCCCAGCCTCCCTGAGTCCCAACCTCCCTGAGTCCCAGCCTCCCTGGATCCCAGCCTCCCTGAGTCCCAGCCTCCCTGGATCCCAGCCTCCCTGAGTCCCAGCCTCCCTGGATCCCAGCCTCCCTGGATCCCAGCCTCCCTGAGTCCCAGCCTCCCTGGATCCCAGCCTCCCTGGATCCCAGCCTCCCTGAGTCCCAGCCTCCCTGGGTCCCAGCCTCCCTGGATCCCAGCCTCCCTGAGTCCCAGCCTCCCTGGATCCCAGCCTCCCTGGATCCCAGCCTCCCTGAGTCCCAGCCTCCCTGGATCCCAGCCTCCCTGGGTCCCAGCCTCCCTGGATCCCAGCCTCCCTGGGTCCCAGCCTCCCTGGATCCCAGCCTCCCTGAGTCCCAGCCTCCCTGGATCCCAGCCTCCCTGAGTCCCAGCCTCCCTGGATCCCAGCCTCCCTGGGTCCCAGCCTCCCTGAGTCCCAGCCTCCCTGGGTCCCAGCCTCCCTGAGTCCCAGCCTCCCTGGATCCCAGCCTCCCTGGGTCCCAGCCTCCCTGAGTCCCAGCCTCCCTGGGTCCCAGCCTCCCTGAGTCCCAGCCTCCCTGGGTCCCAGCCTCCCTGAGTCCCAGCCTCCCTGGGTCCCAGCCTCCCTGAGTCCCAGCCTCCCTGGGTCCCAGCCTCCCTGGGTCCCAGCCTCCCTGGGTCCCAGCCTCCCTGAGTCCCAGCCTCCCTGGGTCCCATCCTCCCTGGATCCCAGCCTCCCTGGATCCCAGCCCGCGGGCTTTTCTTCCAGACGCTGGCGCCACCATTGGCCACGCCAGGAGCAGAGCCGCCCGGGGAAACAGCTCCGTCTTGGTCTCTCCGCTCGCTCAGTCACAAGCGGGAAAACAGCCTCAGCCTGAATCCTGGGAAGTGAATCGCTGCAGACGCTGCAGAAACCAGGGCCCGCCGGTCTCAGCTCTGCGGTGCGGTCCCGAGCGACGGACGGACGAAGCCCCTCGGAGTCCAGCAGCCTGGATGTGACTCCACAGCTCAAGTCCGCACGGACGAAAGGACTTAGTTTTTACCCAGGCGTGAAACAGACCCGGGCTCTGAGCTGCTGCGGGCACAGGACAGACGCCTGGGAGCCTGCAGCGGACACACTCCTGGGGGCCGGAAAGGCTGCCCGGGGAGAGAATAGAGACAGCAGCCCCCGGACACCAGGACGGACGGCTCCCCCGTGAAGGACTCGCCCCGCGGGCGCCAGGCTCCTGCCCAGCCCGTCCCCACCTCCCGTGGCGCTCTGGGCCCTCCCTGTGGGGTTGCCCCTCCCCACATTCAGTCCCTGTGGGCCAGGTGGGGGCCTCGCCTTTTTGTGCATCTGAATCGTGTGATCGGGGCCCACATAGTGAACACACAACCTTCCTAGGACAGCACTCTGTGGGGTCTAAACGCATGACCTCATCTGGGCCAGTCAGAGCAACATCAGGACCAGTGCAGAAGCTACTGGGGAAGTCGCGTGCTCTTTCTTAAGCACATGTGAGCTGGGAGGTGCTGCAGCATTGATGGGGTCACAGCCAGAGGGGATTCCGGGGCTGCCAGGGGACAGTGTATGGGCCTGAGATGGAAGCAACGCAGGAGGGAAGAGCCAGAGTGAGAGAGGACAGAGCAGGAGACAGAGAGAGAGAGAGAAGGAGAGAATGGGGTGGGGGGAGAGACTGCAGGGGAGAGCAGCAGACAGAGAGAGGAGAGAGAGAGAGAGATGGAGCAAGAGGGAAAGAACTTCCTGGTCATGTTTCTAGAGGCCGGAATGCAGCCATACCTGGAACCAGCTAGAATAACCTAGATTTCTTCACTACGTGAGCCAGCACATTCCCAGGCATCTGCTGATTGGCGTCAGGGTTTCTGCTGCTCCGCAGAGAACTGCCCACCGCTGCCCACCCTGTCCTGACTGTGGACGGCCAAGCCGGGCACTTGTCCACCAGCTGTGACCCCAGCCCTCCTCTCTGGTGACAGCGAGTCTGAATGGAGCAAATGAGCGGTCACCCACCATCAATTAACTCTAGTGAGCTTTTATTTTTTTAAAAGTAAAATATTCCCAACCTATGACACTTTGGGATTTTGAAAAACATGACTTGTCACACCACAGAAAACCATGGTGACACAATGGTGTGCCTCAGTGCAGTGGAGAAGAGCTGAGTGAACCCGGCTCTGGCGCTGGGCTCTGGCGCTGCGGGGAGCATGTGCTCACCACGAGTCCTGGTCGTCTTCTGGGGGAGAGCCCTGACTTCTCTGAGGAAGCTGCGTGCCCCTCTATCCTGCTGGTTAGGACATAAGTGTCCCTGCTGTGCCCGGGGCTGCCTCCATGGTGACGATGATTCCGGAACCTCGGGTGGGGAGGGAGGCTCAGAAGGGCCTGTGCCCTGACACCTGCACCTCCGGGCACCCTGCCTGTGGGTTCGTTTCCAATCTCCATCTCTGGCGCCTCCCACCAAGAGCCTGAACCTGCACACCTGGGCTCAGTACCGAGACACGGGCCACGCGGCACCTGCTGGGGCTTCTGGGTTGAGACGGTTGCAGTGGACACCAGGAGTGTCGTGGGTGATGGCTGTGAAATGACCCAAGAACGATTGCTAAATCCGCTGGTTTAATCACATGCAAAGAGCCTTGTCATTGAACAGGTGGCAGCAGGTGGGGGTTCCCCTCCCCTCCCTGGGAAGGGAGCACAGAGCTCACTTGTGGGTGCTGGATTCTCGTGGCCCCCTCTGCTTCTTTTTTTTTTTTTTTAATTTTTTAGAGAGAAAAAGAGAAAAAGAAGGAGAAAAAAAGAAAAAGAGGGAAAAAGGAATATTACTTCATTCCTAAAATGGGTTTCAATAATGGCCGATCAATATTTTGAGTGTTTAAAGTGGTTAATGCATATTTTATGTGTTTAAAATGGAGACCTCTATTGTGTTTATTTGTTCTGGCTCTGAGTTCAAGTCCTGGATATCGTTATCAATTTGTTGTCTCGTTGAATCTAAATCTCATTATGTGTCTTATGTATCTGGGTGTTAAGATCTCTTATTGTTACATTAATCCTTTTACCCTTGCATCCTTGTAGCTTTGAAATCTATTTTATTAAGTGTGAGAATTGCAACTCCTGCTTTTTATTTATTTATTTTTGCTCTCCATTTGGTTGGTGAGTTTTTTTCCATCCCCTTGTTTTGAGTCTTTGTATATCTTCAGATATATCGTTAGATTTTGTGGATAATGTATATTTTGTGTGTTTAAAATGGAGAGCTCTATTGAGTTTATTTGTTCTGGATCTTAGTTCCAGTCCCGGGTATCGTTATCGATTTGTTGTCTCGTTGAATCTAAATCTCATTATGGGTCTTATGTATCTGGGTGTTAAGATCTCTTATTATTACATTAATCCTTTTACCCTTGTATCCTTGTAGCTTTGAAATCTATTTTGTCAAATGTGAAAATTGCAACTCCTGCTTCTTATTTATTTATTTTTGCTCTCCATTTGGTTGGTACGTTTTTTTTTTTTTTTTTCCAACCCTTTATTTTGAGTCTATGTATATCTTTGGATATACCGTTAGATTTTGTCTGTATCTTTTGATTGGGAGATTTGGTCGATTTAAATTTAGGGTTGCTGCCATTTGTTATTAACTGGCTATTTTGTCCTTTCGTTGATAAAAATTCTTCTTTATGTTAATGCTCTTTACTTTTTGGTGTATTTTTAGAAAGGGTCATACTGGTTGTTCCTTTCTGTGTATAATGCTTCTTTTAGAAGTTCTTGTAAAGCAGGCCTGGTGGTAATAAAATCTCTGAGTGCTTGCTTGTTCCTAAAAGATTTTATTTTTCCTTCAAATGTAAAGCTTAAATTGGCAGGATATGAAATTCTGGGCTGAAAGTTCTGTTGATTAAGTATATTGAATATTGGCCCCCACTCTCTTCTAGCTTGTAGGGTTTCAGTTGAGAGATCTGCTGTAAGCCTAATAGGCTTACCTTTATGGGTGACTTGATCTTTCTCTCTGGCTGCCCTTAATATTTTCTCCTTCGTTTCGATCTTGGTGAATCTAATGATTATGTGCCTTGGGGTTGGTCTTCTTGAGGAATATCTTTGTGGTGTTCTCTGTATTGCCTGGGGTTGAATAGTGACCTGCTTTGCTAAATTAGGAAAATTTTCCTGGATAATGTCCTGGAGAGTATTTTCCAGCTTGACTTCATTCTCTCCGTCACATTCAGGTACACCAATCAAGCGTATATTAGGTCTTTTCACATAGTCCCATATTGCTAGGAGACTTTGCTCATTCCTTTTTATCCTTTTTTCTCTATTCTTGTCTTGTCGTTTTGTTTCATTGAGTTGGTCTTCGACCTCTGATATCCTTTCTTCTGCTTGATCCATTCGGCTGTTTAAGCTTGTACATATTTCACTAAGTTCTCGTGTTGTATTTTTCAACTCCATAAGTTCATTTGTATTCCTCTCTATATTGTCTATTCTTTTCAACATTTCATCGAACCTTTTTTCCAAGTTCTTAGTTTCTTTACATTGGGTTAGAACAAGTTCCTTTAACTCCCAGAAGTTTCTTATCATCCACCTTTTAAAGCCTACTTCAGATAATGGAACACAGTCCTTTTCCATCAGGGCTTGTTCCATTACTGATGAGTCCTTTTCCATCAGGGCTTGTTCGGTTGCTGATGAGTCCTTTTCCATCAGGGCTTGTTCCGTTGCTGATGGGTTCTGATTTTGAGTATACTCAGCCTTCTTAGGTTGTTTTTTTTCCCTTCATTGTAGATGAACCGCCTTTCTAATTAGGTTTCTGAGTCGACGTCCGATTTATTGATTCCCAGTGCTGGGATCCGAGCCATCCACTGTGGCGGCCTAAATAGCAGCGGTAAGACTGATGGTGCTCTTCTGCCCGGGAATCTCTGGTCTGGCTTCCCTCTTGAGTCCGCAACAAGCGGCTCTGACTTCCCGGAGCTCCAAACTCCAGTCAGTAGGGGAAGCAGTCCCGTTGGCTCTACATGAAGAGCTGCTGCGCCGAGACGCCGGCAAAAGTGCTGCGGCGTCCACAAGAGTCGCGCTGGCGACCCGTGGGGCTCCTCCACTGGGAATTGGCTGATCGGTGAGTGATGAAAATTCGTCTAATGATGTGGCGTCGTCTCGTTCTCTGAGCTTTCACTGGGAGCTACAATCCTGAGCTGTTAGTGGTCGGCCATCTTGGATCGGCCCCCTCTGCTTCTAAAGGATGGGGATGCACGAGAAGAGGTGGCACCCAGGCTGGGGAGAGAAAGGTGGGGCGACCCCAAGCCTCTGGGGGGATGGGCAGGTATCTCTGTGATCCCCCCCCAGGCAGCCCTGGACTAATGAAATAGGGGGAGGGGAGGGGAGGGGAGGGGGAAGGGAAGGCAGCAGAGAGGAGGGGAGGAGAGAGGAGACCAGAGGGGCCAGGCAGGGTGCCCTTGACTGCACGTGACAGAACCACACGGGGTGTTGTGTTGTGGTGCTGCTGTCAAAGCATTGCAGTGTGGTGTGTGGTTGTTGTGTGGTTACGTTGTAGTGTGGTGTGTGGCGGTGTTTTGTGTTATGTTCATGATGTGGTGTGTGGGGTTGTTTTGTGTTGTGTTTTGGTGTGTGGTGGTGTTTCGTGTTATGTTGATGTTTGGTGTGTGGTGGTGTTTTGTGTTATGTTGTGGTGTGGTGTGTGGTGTTTTGTTATGTTGATGTGGTGTGGTGTGTGGTGTTTTGTGTTATGCTGATGTGGTGTGTGCTGGTGTTTCATGTTATGTTGTGGTGTGGTGTGTGGTGGTGGTTTGTGTTATGTTGATGTAGTGTGTGGTGGTGTTTTGTGTTATGTTGTGTGGTGTATGGTGTTTTGTGTTATGTTGATGTTGTGGTGTGTGGTGGTGTTTTGTGTTATGTTGTGGTGTGGTGTGTGGTGGTTTTGTGTTATGTTGATGGTGTGGTGTGTGGTGGTGTTTTGTGTTATGTTGTGGTGTGGTGTGTGGTGGTTTGTGTTATGTTGATGGTGTGATGTGTGGTGGTGTTTTGTGTTATGTTATGGCGTGGTGTGTGGTGTTTTGTGTTATGTTGATGGTGTGGTATGTGGTGGTGTTTTGTGTTATGTTGTGGTGTGGTGTGTGGTGGTGTTTTGTGTTATGTTGTGGTGTGGTGTGCGGTGGTTTGTGTTATGTTGATGGTGTGATGTGTGGTGGTGTTTTGTGTTATGTTGTGGCGTGGTGTGTGGTGGTGTGTTATTTTGTGGTGTGGTGTGTGGTGTTTTGTGTTAGTTGTGGCGTGGTGTGTGGTGTTTTGTGTTATGTTGATGGTGTGGTATGTGGTGGTGTTTTGTGTTATGTTGTGGTGTGGTGTTTGGTGTTTGTGTTATGTTGATGGTATGGTGTGTGGTGGTTTTGTGTTATGTTGTGGTGCGGTTTGTGTTGGGGTCGTGTGGTTGTTGTGTTGTTACGTTGCTGGTGTGTGTGTCTCTGTCCACATTGGGCAGATGGTCCTGGGGATGCTCCTGGGCCCCCCTCCCCCGGCTCCCAGCGTCCCCAGCCTCTGCTCCTGGGAATGGTCCAGGCTGGACCCGGTGTGGTCGGAGCCCAGTCTGGCCAGTCCCCAGCGGGACGCCCGGAGGGTGGGCTCATTCCCTGGAGAGCCCCGTCTTGGCCTGTGGGTTCCTGGGTGGGGCCGTGCCCGGCGCTGGGAGGTGAGCAGGGCCTGGGGCTGGGGCAGCTCTGTGTCCTCTCCACCTTCGTACCACCCGTGGGCTCCAGGGCTCCCTTCCCGCCCCAAGCTCAGGGTCAGCGGCCACCACCTGGATTTCTGCCTCTGCGCTCCAGAACCCCGTCCTTCTGCCTGTGGACGAGGAAATCAATGCCAGGTCCTGGAAGTGTTGAAGAGAAGCCATCGCTGTCAACGTGGTGAGTCTCCCCGCACACGGGGCTGCAGCGGGCACCCTCCCGCCTGCCAGGGAAGGGCTCCTCCCCGCCGCAGGGTGCTGACTCCGGCACTCACGCAGGGGACCCCCACCCCGGGCTGGGGAGATGGGGGGACCTGCGCTGACCTTCAGTGCCCGAGGACATCTGAGCCCCTCTGGAAGGAGACGGGGAGCTGCCCAGGCCCCAGCTCTGCCGAGGGTGAGGATGGGCTGCTGCCGGGCAAGTCCTCAGCTGAGCCAGGCGGGGAGTCCCCTGGAAAGACTGGCCAAGGTCATTGAGGGCGCTGTGGTGTCATCCTTTGCATAGACCATGACAGTGACTCTGGCAGCTGCCTCCCTCCTTCCAGCACCCTGGAAGCGCCGTTTCTGAGCCCCTCCCTCAGGGCCCAGAGCCGGGGACTCTGAGACCCACTCCTTCTTTATCAAATCTCCCTCTTCTGCTGGCGGCGGGAGGCTGGGACCGTGGGCAGTGTCCTCCTTGTGGGGCTGACATGGAGGATGGTGATGACGACACTGAGCTCACTGCGTGGCCAGCATGGATCTTAGCAGAGCCGGACACCTGGATGTGAGCCTGGCTCTCTGTCTCCCTCCCAAGCACCCTGGGAAAGCTACCCAGCCGTCTGTGCCTCAGTTTCCTGCTCTGTAGAATGGGAATCACAACGACGGCGCTGTCCCATTAGGGTAAGGCTGCTGGAGCAGCCCCAGCCCTCAGCGCTGTGACTCACTGTCCCTCCCTCGAGTCATGCACAGCTGCGTCTGACGGTCAGAGGCTCCCTCCATGCCCAGAAGTCCTGCAGTCGGACTGCAAGGATCTCGAGATTCTTAATTTTATGTTTTGGGCTTTGTGAATGAAGTTCAATGGAGCTTGCCCTGGGGGTTTGGAACCCTGGGTCTGTCAGTTCCCCCTCCTTACCCACTGAGCGCTGAGACCCCAGCCCTGTCCAGCCGTCCCTCATGCAGTGACCAGGCCATGCCTGCATGGCACCCTCCATCCCTCCATCCCTGGCAGGGGGCTGGGTCAGGCACCAGGAGGGCTGGAGTTGGCATGTGCCATGTGGCCGCAGAGGGTCCATCGGCGCCCCACACTGGGGGCTGGGCAGGTCCCTGCACCTCTCCTGAGGACACCTGCATGTATTCCCGCCTATTAAGTGACTGGCACTGGGCTAGGTCTGCTGTCGCCTCGTTTCATGCTCACTCTCCAGGGACACAGATGCACCTGCATGACACCAGGGACAGCGGGGCTCAGTCCAAGGCTCTCCAGACTCAAAAGCCCATGCACCAGCCTCCAGCAGACCCTGCCTCTGGAGTCCAGGAGGGACGAGGGACGAGGGCCCCAGACCCTGAGGGCCCAGCAACCAGGGTACCCCGCAGAGCTGTGTCAGTTGCCCCAGACCCCTCTCAGCATCCTACCACCGCAGGCCTCAGGAGGGAACGGGCACCATGGAAACACTGCTGACACCTGGCGTGTCCCCTGCCTGCCCCCGGAGAGTGCCCGGCCGGGGTTCAGCACCCGGACTGAGCAGGGAAACCTCTCCTCACAGGAAGCCTCTGCGCTAATAGTGTGAGTGTTCATCCCCTCGGGGACTCACGGGAAAATTTAGTTCCATCCTCTCGGTGTTAGGAAGTGGAGCCTTTAAGAGGTGATTAGGTCCTGGGGCTGTACCCTCATAAATGAATAGATGTCATTCTTGTGGGAGTGGGTTAGTTATGATAGAAGTGGGTTAGTTATGGTGAGAGCGGGTTAAGGTGGGAGCAGGTTAGTTAACGGTGGAAGCAGGTTAGTTACAGTGAGAGTGGGTTTGTTATGATGGGAGTGGGTTAGTTACGGTGGGAGCAGGTTAGTTATGATGGGACCAGGTTAGTTATGATGGGACCAGGTTAGTTACAGTGGGAGCGGGTTAGTTATGATGGGACCAGGTTAGTTATGATGGGACAGGGTTAGTTATGATGGGACAGGGTTAGTTATGATGGGACCAGGTTAGTTAGGGTGGGAGCGGGTTAGTTATGATGGGACCAGGTTAGTTATGATGGGACAGGGTTAGTTATGATGGGACCAGGTTAGTTATGATGGGACAGGGTTAGTTATGATGGGACCGGGTTAGTTATGGCGGGAGCAGGTTAGTTAGGGTGGGAGTGGGTTGGTTACGGTGGGAGTGGGTTAGTTAGGGTGGGACCGGGTTAGTTATGTTGGGAGTGGGTTAGTTATGATAGGACCGGGTTAGTTATGATAGGACCAGGTTAGTTATGATAGGACCGGGTTAGTTATGGCGGGAGCAGGTTAGTTAGGGTGGGAGTGGGTTGGTTATGGTGGGACCGGGTTAGTTATGGTGGGACCGGGTTAGTTATGGTGGGACCGGGTTAGTTATGGTGGGACCGGGTTAGTTATGGTGGGACTGGGTTAGTTATGTTGGGAGTGGGTTAGTTATGGTGGGACCGGGTTAGTTATGGTGGGAGCAGGTTAGTTAGGGTGGGAGTGGGTTGGTTACAGTGGGACCGGGTTAGTTATGGTGGGACCGGGTTAGTTATGGTGGGACCGGGTTAGTTATGGTGGGACCGGGTTAGTTATGTTGGGAGTGGGTTAGTTATGGTGGGACCGGGTTAGTTATGGTGGGACCGGGTTAGTTATGGTGGGACTGGGTTAGTTATGGTGGGATAGGGTTAGTTATGGTGGGACCGGGTTAGTTATGTTGGGAGTGGGTTAGTTATGGTGGGACCGGGTTAGTTATGGCGGGACCGGGTTAGTTATGGTGGGACTGGGTTAGTTATGTTGGGACTGGGTTAGTTATGTTGGGAGTGGGTTAGTTATGATGGGACCGGGTTAGTTATGATAGGACCGGGTTAGTTATGATGGGACCGGGTTAGTTATGGCAGGAGCAGGTTAGTTAGGGTGGGAGTGGGTTGGTTACGGTGGGAGTGGGTTAGTTAGGGTGGGACCGGGTTAGTTATGATGGGACCGGGTTAGTTATGTTGGGAGTGGGTTCGTTATGGTGGGATTGGGTTCGTTATGGCAGGAGTGGGTCGTTATGAGTTGAGCCCAGCCCCCCCGTACTCTCTCTTCTCACTGCACTCACTGACCCTCTCGTCTTCCGCCCTTACCACCAGGATGACCACACCAGAGGCCCGTGGAGTTTCCAGCCTCCAGGAACAGGAGCAGAAGAAATGTCTTGTCTTTATAAATTACCGAGTCTGTGATATTCCATTACAGCTGCAGCAGACGGACTAAGACCCTCCGTTTCTACCCGTAGGCATCTGATACAACGGTCGCCTTGAAAATTCATGGAAGAAGGCTGCTCCAAAACCAATTTCCTGCTCCATAGCATCTGCCTTTGGAGAATCTCATATAAATAAGGAACCAGGTGCAGATGTGGAAACTCAGTAGGCTCTGACCGTGTCATTCCAAATGGAGAGGGTGATAAACGCCCATTAGAATTCAAATAAATATGAACTTCAGCAAAAGGAAAAATGTGACGTGACCCTGCAGCCTCGGCTAAACATGGTAGAAATTACCCTTCAGAGAAGCGGAACAGACGGGCATTAAAAAGTCACCTTCCTTAACTCGCACGTATGTTACAATTCATTTCCAGACATGAACGTTGTATGGAGATTTCAGCTGCTGAATTATACACCTTGATTCTTGCATACAGAGGACTCAAAAAATTTCCCCCAAAGGCCTAAATAACGATGTTCAGCCTGACTTTTCCTTCGACACACAGAAGAGGATGGGCCACCCTTTCTGGAACTCTACCCCCAGGACATGCAGTGAAAGTCACAGATAAAGAACCAGGCTGGAGAGCCAAGGGCATCAAAAAGGGCAGTAATGCCTCGGTGGTGCAGCCATGGGAAGGACGGGGCCAGGACAGTCCACAGCACCGCTCCCTCTGGGTAGCACGCCCACGGTGACCACTCTCGCCATCTTCACTGGGAACAGGGATGGAGCTCTGCATGGCGACTCCGAGGAGCACAGGACGGAAAGGGGGAACAGTCACTTTAAAGGGGAGAAACCCGGCAGCCAGACCTCAGCTGGGAATCAAGGTCCACGTCGGCCATGATGTCTGGTTCATAACAGGGGCCCCCAATATGGCATGAGAGACACCCCCTTACCTCTGGACGCCCCAGGCTCATCAGGAGCAAGGCACCGGAGGAATCCCAACAGAGCCAGTGTGCACAGGACGCCTGGCCAGTCCCGCTCAAAGCTGTGAAGGTCATGAAATCCAGGCCAGTCTGAGAAAAGGTCACAGCCACCAGCAGCCCAGGGAGACATGACGACCAAAGGTCACAGGGGGTCCCGGAGGGGAGCCTGGGATGGAAAAAGGACTTCGAGGAAGCTAATAACTCATGACCGAAACGTAGGTTCGCAGTGATGCATCCGTAACCATGACGAATGTCCTGTGGCAAGAGAAGAGGTTAGTGACAGGGACGTGGGATGGGGGCTGGGAGGACTCTGTACAGTCTCCACAACTCCTCAGAAAACCTAAAACTGGGACCTGGCACAGTGCCTCATGCCTGTAATCTCAGCCCTTTGGGAGGCCAAGGTGGACGGATCATGAGGTCAGGAGTTCAAGACCACCCTGGCCAACATGGTGAAACCCCATCTCTATTAAAAATACAAAAATTATCCAGGTGTGGTGGTGGTCACGTAGTCCCAGGTACTCAGGAGGCTGAGGCAGAAGAACTGCTTGAACCCAGGAGGTGAGGGTTGCAGTGAGCCGGGATTGCACCACTGCACTCCAGCCGGGGCGACAGAGCGAGACTCCATCTCAAAAAAAAAAAAAAAATAGGAAATGGTAGGTGCTGAGGTTGCAGAATCAGAGATGAAGAGCTGTAACCCCACAACTTTATTTCCAAGCTGAAATTGGATGTTTTTCTTTTTGGTTATGTTTTGTTTTGTTTTGAGACGGAGTTTCGTTCTTATTACCCAGGCTGGAGTGCAATGGCGCGATCTCGGCTCACCGCAACCTCAGCCTCCTGGGTTCAGGCAATTCTTTTGCCTCAGCCTCCTGAGTAGCTGGGATTACAGGCGCGTGCCACCGTGCCCAGCTAATTTTGTTTTTTTTTGTATCTTTAGTAGAGACGGGGTTTCACCATGTTGACCAGGATGGTCTCGATATCTTGACCTCGTGATCCACCCGCCTCGGCCTCCCAAAGTGCTGGGATTACAGGTGTGAGCCACCGCGCCCGGCCTGTATGTTTTACAGAAGAGGACGCGGGGGCTGGTAGCACGGCCGTTTCCCACCACAGCCAGAATGTTTTCACCCCAGGACAACATCTGTGTGCACTGGGCTCTGCGGTCTTCCTGTTATTTTAGGTTTTTGCTTTTATGTTCCCAAAGTAAGGCATGCCTGTGGTTTAAAAGTGTGGAGTATAAAGTACACAGCAGGGAGGAAAAGAAGCCTCTTCTTTGTTGTTTTGGCCACAGTGTCTCCGCATTAGCCCTCTGCAGGCAGCCGTGGCCACCTGCTCCAAAAGGTCTTTCTAAAGATAGTCTCTGCTGGGCGTGGTGCCGCGGCCATAATCCCCGCGTCTTGGAAGGCCAAGGTAGGAGGATTGCTTGAGCCGGGAGGTCAAGGCTGCAGGGCTGCAGTGAGTCATGACCATACCACTGCCCTCTAGCCTGGGAGACAGAGCCAGACTCTATCTCAAAACAATAATAAAAAATTCAAAGATAGTCTGTACAGGAACAAGTGCACACACATGCACACATACAGGCCTGCATATGTGTGTGCGTGCACATACACACCAACTTATAAACATACAGAACTGCATATGCGCGTGCGCGCACACACACAAACTTATACAGATCTGCATATGCGCACATACACACACGCAAACATACAGGCCTGCATATGCACACACACACACTTATAAACATACAGACCTGCATATGCACACATACGCACACACCCATGCACACACACGCTGACATACAGACCTGCATATGCACACACACTTATAAACATACAGACCTGCATATGCGTGCGCGCACGCGCACACACACACACACAAACTTATACAGATCTGCATATGCACACACACTTATAAACATACAGACCTGCATATGCACAAACACACACACACACACACATACACAGACATACAGGCCTGCATATGCACACACACACACTTATAAACATACAGACCTGCATATGCGTGCACGCGCACACACACACACACAAACTTATACAGATCTGCATATGCACACACACTTATAAACATACAGACCTGCATATGCACAAACACACACACACACACACATACACAGACATACAGGCCTGCATATGCACACACACACACTTATAAACATACAGAACTGCATATGCGCGTGCGTGCACACACACACACAAACTTATACAGATCTGCATATGCGCACATACACACGCGCAAACATACAGGCCTGCATATGCACACACACACACTTATAAACATACAGACCTGCATATGCACACATACGCACACACCCATGCACACACACGCTGACATACAGACCTGCATATGCACACACACTTATAAATATACAGGCCTGCATATGCACACACACTTATAAACATAGACCTGCATATGCACACACACATGCACACACACACAGAGACCTGCATATGCGCACATATGTGCACACACACAAGCATATAGACCTACATATGCATGCACACACATACACGTGAACGCACACACACACAAACGCACATGCACACATGCATGCACGCACATGCACACACACGCACACACACAAGCAGACATATAGACCTGCAGATGCGCACATACACACACACACACAAGCATATAGACTTACATGTGCATGTACACACACACGTGAATGCACACACACACAAACGCACATGCACACACACACGCAGACATATAGACCTGCATATGTGCACACACACAAGCATATAGACTTATATGTGCATGTACACACGCACATATGTGAACACACAGACACAAATGCACATGCACACATGCATGCATGCACATGCACATACGCGTGCACACACACAAGCATATAGACCTGCATGTGCATGCACACATGCACACACGTGAACACACACGCACACACAAACACACACGCACACATGCACGCACACGCACACACACAAGGTAGCACTGTGTTTTATATAACTCCGTTCTTCCAAGTTGGGACCTTTACAGAACCCTCATATTTGATGGCTTCAGCCTGTGCCACTGCATAGACTGCATATTGTAATTGATTTGAGTGATTCGCTCTGAGCAGACATTTATCTTAGTCTTCTGTTACAAATCGCACCGTAAGGAATACCTTTGTTCAGACGCCCTTGCGCACATTACAGCGTTATTTTTAATGCCTGCTTGATATGCGACGAGTGACGTACAGTAACCCATATGATGCATCCTCTGTTTTAAACGTCTAGACGTCTCCAGTATTTTCCACGATTACAAACAACGCTGTTGCGATATGAATCTCCGCACACACCTCTGATTGCTCTCCTTGGATGAGTTTCCAGAAGGAAGTGCTGGGTGGAAATATTTCCACTTTAACTTTAAGGCGCGTCCAGCCCCATTTCCGAGAGCCGAGTCGGGCTGTTCGCCTGGTGGTGCCCGCAGGCGCCTGGGCAGGAGGGGTCCTTCGACAGAGGGGAGCTCCAAGCCCCTCTCCAGGGTCGGGCCCCTCCTGGTTCTCCTCTCGCAGCCCAGTTGGGCCCGTTTGGGGTCATTTCCCTCACTTTTCAGGGTAGCGCCAGACTCCAGGGTTCCTAGAACTTTGGCCGTTGTCAAGGAAGAAATGTCTGCGGAGGTTTCTTTAAAGGGCGCCCCCGCACGGCTGGGAGGGGCAGTGAGGCCTCTGGCCGCCGCGGAGGCTTCTTTCAAGGGCGCCCCCGTACGGCTGGGAGGGGCAGTGAGGCCTCTGGCCGCCGCGGAGGCTTCTTTCAAGGGCGCCCCCGTACGGCTGGGAGGCGCAGTGAGGCCTCTGAGCGCCGCGGAGGCTTCTTTAAAGGGCGCCCCCGTACGGCTGGGAGGCGCAGTGAGGCCTCTGGCCGCCGCGGAGGCTTCTTTCAAGGGCGCCCCCGTACGGCTGGGAGGCGCAGTGAGGCCTCTGGCCGCCGCGGAGGCTTCTTTCAAGGGCGCCCCCGTACGGCTGGGAGGCGCAGTGAGGCCTCTGGCCGCCGCGGAGGTTTCTTTAAAGGGCACCCCTTGTGGCTGGGAGGCACAGTGAGGCCTCTGGCCGCCGCGGAGGCTTCTTTAAAGGGCGCCCCCGTATGGCTGGGAGGGGCAGTGAGGCCTCTGAGCGCCGCAGAGGCTTCTTTCAAGGGCGCCCCCGTACGGCTGGGAGGGGCAGTGAGGCCTCTGGGCACCACGGGGGCTTCTTTAAAGGGCGCCCCCTGTGGCTGGGAGGCGCAGTGAGGCCTCTGGCCGCCGCGGAGGAGGGCGAACCAGCTTGCATCACGAAGGATCGGCCTGCAGTGAGTTGGACCCGGGACTTGCCACTCAGGCCCCCGTGAGTCTCCGCAGCTCAGGGCTGTGGGAAGCAGGCTGCCTTCCGGATTCCACCCGTGGCTTCCACCTCCGCCCGCCCTGTGGCACGCACCGGATCTCAGCTCCCCCAGGCTTGACGGCTGAATTCCACGGGTGCTGTGGAGTGGGGCGGGGAGGGGGGGGGAGGCCACCAGATTCCTGACGTCACCTGCCCATCCAGGACAGGAAAGACGTCATCGTGCAAGGGGCCTCCGCGGGGCTCCGGAGAGGGCCTGCGAGGGTGCAGTGTCAGCTGTCAGATCTCCAGGAACGGGCGAGCTGGCGCCCAGTGCTGCCATTGTCCGAACTGCAGCAGAGAAACTTACCATTGAGTAAATTCTATTAAAGCCGGGGTAGGAGTCACAGCCCCTCAGCTCCCGGCCGTCTTCCTGCTGCTGACTGTGGTTGCATCGTCTCAGGGTAGAGACACCAGCATCTCCCCAGGGTAGAGACACCAGCATGTCCCCAGGGTAGAGACACCAGCATCTCCCCAGGGTAGAGACACCAGCATCTCCCCAGGGTAGAGACACCAGGATGTCCCCAGGGTAGAGACACCAGCATGTCCCCAGGGTAGAGACACCAGCATGTCCCCAGGGTAGAGACACCAGGATGTCCCCAGGGTAGAGACACCAGCATCTCCCCAGGGTAGAGACGCCAGCATGTCCCCAGGGTAGAGACGCCAGCATCTCCCCAGGGTAGAGACGCCAGCATGTCCCCAGGGTAGAGATGCCAGCATGTCCCCAGGGTAGAGACGCCAGCATCTCCCCAGGGTAGAGACGCCAGCATGTCCCCAGGGTAGAGACACCAGCATGTCCCCAGGGTAGAGACACCAGCATGTCCCCAGGGTAGAGACACCAGCATCTCCCCAGGGTAGAGACACCAGCATCTCCCCAGGGTAGAGACACCAGCATGTCCCCAGGGTAGAGACACCAGCATGTCCCCAGGGTAGAGACACCAGCATCTCCCCAGGGTAGAGACACCAGCATGTCCCCAGGGTAGAGGAGACACCAGCATCTCCCCAGGGTAGAGACACCAGCATGTCCCCAGGGTAGAGACACCAGCATCTCCCCAGGGTAGAGACACCAGCATCTCCCCAGCTCCACACCCAGTGGCGTCAGAGTGCGGTGGGAAGTCGGCCCCGGGCAGCGTTTACACCACAAAAACTGATGGCCCCCATCCGGGCTGCTGTCTTTAGTCCACCCGCAGAGCTGGCTGTTAAACACCTGCCCACGCCCACCAAGCCTCCGTCCGTCGTCCTTTGGGGTGGGGTCTCTGCGGGGTCAACAGAGTCCACAGCCTGCACAAGGGAGCCTGCAAACAGAGCATG